ATAATTATCAGCTCATGGGGAATTTTGTAAACCCATCTACTTAATCTTACATGCAGACTTGGAAAATAATCTCAGAATCATATCATTTCATTCATATATATTTTACTACAGAAATATAAAATGTAGTGAGTTTTTAGAAATTATTTCATAAGCACACCTAAAATTAGATACATAATTCCTTAGTGTGTTTAGAGTCTAGTTTTTCTGATTGTCTCAAGAATTTTTTAAGTTATTTTATTTGTATATGAATCCAAACAAAGCCTAGCATTTGGTCCATATATTTCTTTTTTTCTTTCTCCCAAGCAGTGACAAAAGCTTTATTTTTTATGACAAATGGCCATACAGTGAAAGATCAAGTTTTAGTGAAAGTTAAAAGTGCATGCACTTAGAATCAGTAAAAGATTTGCATACGAAGTTGGTGAATCTCAACAGAATTAAAAGGCAATTTATAAAGATCTGAATGTTTCTCTCAGCAAAATCAAGATTCTACACACAAGAGTCAAAAAATGATGTCTCACTAGCCAAGTCCGATGATTTGGGGGAGGAAAGAACATGTTATTTAAAAACATTTGAAATCTGTTAAATAGAACATTGACTTTCCAGTATACCTTAATTGGCATTTTTTCCCATTTTTTTAAAATTTATTTTTTTCATTTATTTATATTAGTTGAGGGCTAATTACTTTACAATATTGTATTGGTTTTTGCCATACATTTTTAATGTATAGTTTATCTGTTCTCTATTTTTCCTAGCAAATTATTTGCTGAAGAAGTGGAACTATTTGTCCAGTAGAACTTCCCATGTGCTGAATCTTGTTGGTTGCATCCTTCTGATATAATTTACCCTGAGATTTATGGTTTGGGTTCCAGAAAATAACAATAACACAGATTGTTTACATTTGTTGACTGCTTAGTATGTGCCAACTATGTGTGAAGTGCCTGATTTGTATATTAAATCCTTCAAAATCCTTGTCTGCATGTGGTAGGTACAAACTTGATATATTTTTATGTGATTTTCAATTTGTAAATTTGAAATAGCATATTAAATATTAAAGTCTTATTTATGCATGTACTCTGAAATAACTCAAGTAATTGTTCAAGAATCATGTAATTTGAAATCATGAGGACTGATTTCCATCTTTGTTTATAGTAATGTCATATGGTGGCTGATAAAAATAAATATTTGCTCTTATTTTGGGGAATTAATTTTATTTCTGCTAAACTTACACAAAGACTTAATGGATGAATCCCTTTAATAAAATGCAACTACCATGAAATTTGCTTTCCCTAGTATCTCATGGGGAAGGAGTACAGCATTTGTCTATTTCCAGGACACTGATAGTTCAGTTCAGTTCAGTTCAGTTCAGTCGTTCAGCCATGTCTGACTCTTTGCGACCCCATGAACCGCAGCACGCCAGGCCTCCATGTCCATCACCAACTCCTGGAGTCCACCCAAACCCATGCCCATTGAGTCCGTGATGCCATCAAACCATCTCATCCTCTGTTGTCCCCTTCTTTTCCTGCCTTCAATCTTTCCCAGCATCAGGGTCTTTCCAAATGAGACAGCTCTTTGCATCAGGTGGCCAAAGGATTGGAGTTTCAGCTTCAAGGTCAGTCCTTCCAATGAATATTCAGGACTGATCTCTTTTAGGATGGACTGGTTGGATCTCCTTGCAGTCCAAGGGACTCTCAAGATTCTTCTCCAACACCACAGTTCAAAAGCATCAATTCTTCGGTGCTCAGCTTTCTTTATAGTCCAACTCTCACATCCATACATGACCACTGGAAAAACCATAGCCTTGACACACTGCCAGTAATGCTATACAGTATAACCCTATATTATGATAACACATATAATGTAAACACACACACACTGCCTCCAATATTCTGGGTTGTTAGCTGATGAATCATTATATTTACATAACATTTACTTGAAATTCTATTGCCAAAAAATTCTCAGCATATTTATGTATTTTTAGGTGACCTACATTTCTTTCCATATTAAAATTGTTATTTTATACATTTGGGATGATAATTACCAATCTAATTTTTAACTCATTTTAGAGTAGTTTTAGTTTCATAGCAAAATTAAATGGAAGGTAAAGAGATTTCCACATATCTCCTGCCTTTACTATAACTTCCCTATTATAAACCTCTCCTAACAGTCGTACATTTCTTACAAATGATGAACCTACATTGACACATTATTAGCATGCAAAGTCAATAGTATACATTAGGATTCACTCTCAATGTACATTCTATGGCTCTGTATGACATGTATGTACTATTGTAGCATCATACAGAGTAGTTTCATTGCCCTAAAAATCTGTTATGCTCTATTACCTATATTTTCATGATTAGCTCTGGTTCAGATTCCCTGCATTTACTAACTCCTTGTCTGGTCTTTAAATTATTCTCTTACTTCTACCTCACAGGCAGCTTTTAATTCTATTCCTCGCTTCTCAAAATAAGCATGGATAAAGATCTGTTGCATATACTATAGCTTGACTAAAAATTCATAGGCCATAAGGAGGAGACATATTTTTTATTAGAGAGTAAAAACACAAAGTCAAATATTACAACTTGCCCTGAGTTCTTTCAGCAACCCCTTCACCAGTGATGTGTCACTAACCACTATACCCTGTCTATTCTCTAAGTCTAACCCAATCCCACCCCACCTCATTTTGGAGAGGAAAAAAAATTCTCCAATAACATATGAAATGAAATTCATATATAGCTCCAAGTTTGAATCTCCTAAATCATTAAAGGGCTCAGAAAAATAATTTTCATATAACATAATCCATTCTTTTAAATAAAACATGGATATAACTAGTAATGTTTTCTTATGTATTTCTATACTATGTATAAAGTACTTTCTATATAACAAGATTATTCAAACTCTGTCAATAACTCTGCAAAGAAAGTATTACCACCCCTACTTTATGAATGGGAAAATAATATTCAGAAATGCTAGATACTTTGCATAATGTTATAATTTAAAATCCTAGCTGTAAAGTGCTGAGTCTTGTATTTGAATTTAAGTTTCTTTGCACCAAAATCTACTCTATCAGTTGCTGTGTTCATATTGTGTCTTTTTTCCCAGACACACTTTTTCTGTTTTTTTTTAAATTTAAATATATTAAAAAAAATCTTTACAAGGTACGTCAGAAAGAGAAAAACAAATGTAGTATATTAACACATACATATGGAATCTAGAAAAATGATATGATGAACCCATTTGCAGGGAAAGAATGAAGACAGATTCAGGGAATGGATTTGTGTTCCAATCACATTTTAAGCTCACTGATGCAGATGGCCTGGGCAAGGACAGTTTCATACATTTCATAGTTGTTTTATAAAGTAATCTGCAATGCAATGTATGGACTTAGTAATTGCAGAGTGGAAAGACTGAGGCAATGAACCTAAATAATTTTCAAGGGCAAAATGACTCCAAGTCAAGTCACATACATTCCCGAGTGAGGCCTTGGATACACTGAGGAGAGCCAGAGAATCTCATCTGTTGATCCATCCCCACTACAAGGACTTCCACTAGGAGACAGTGAGTCTAGAGGAGATTATGGCACCCATAACTGCTGCCACATTATCTCATCTATGCTGTTCCTCTAGAGATTTTTCTCTTGTAAGCTTATGTTTCCCTTTGCCAGGAGGGCTGAGGGGCAGGAGCTGAGGATACTGGTAGATTATCTCCAGGGCAAACAGGGATGCACAGAGATTCAGTGAGCCTGACTTTGGCTTATCTGCCTAGGAGCATCCTGGAGCCATATTCACTCTACTGTTCCACACGTGCCATGTCAGGAAAAGTCTACATGGTTTTCTAGCAGGGATTCACGTAAGACATGAAGCAAACTACAGCTGTGTTCTTAAATATGTTTGTGGTTTCTGTATCCATTCATTTTCCCATTGTTTCTAACCCTAAATAAGGACAAAGTATTTGGTTCTTTTCAGATACCTGCTTTATTGTCTTATTCTAATGTTTTCTTAACAAACATATTTCTTTTCCTACCTAGGTAATTCTTATGTCTTCAAGTGTGAGGGGGGGAGAATAAAGTTTTTCTTATCACCAATAATTCTTTAAGAATTATAAGCTCTGAAGACTAATTTTGACTCTTGGTACTTTAGAGATTCAAAATTCCTTTTTCCGAACTTATTTCTCTGTCGAAATTTTAAAAGTGATATTAAAATAAGTATCAATTTACTTCTTGGTTTTTGTATTTTTGTTTTAACAAATCTGCACCAAAGGCAGAGAGTATATATTGCCTTCATTGATGTCTGAATTTGGGGGTGGGTGGCACTGGCTAAGGATGGAAAAAAAAGGAAGACAGAAATATTAACTCCAGTTAAGATAGCAAAATATTATCAGTCTTTACAAGCTGCTCCTGTGTTACTGGGCATGAAACATAATCTGGGAAATGAGGTTCAAAGGGCCTGAAGCAGAAGAGGCCATGGTTCTAATCAGCCCTGAGATGAAAGATGGGAAAAAGTCAGTAAAGACCTCATAAAGGTTTTTATTTCTTCCATGGATATATTAGTTTAGGGTCATTGGTGGATTAGGTAGCTGGATGGGATATCTCAGGGATCCCATAATAGGTAACAATTGAGAAAAGAAAAAATTAGAAGGTCAGGGGGAGAATCCCAAATGTATGTGAACTCTGAGATGATACGGCAACTTAAGTCCCAGAGAAGAAGTGTGAGGAGGAGGGTAGGAGGAGAGAAGGTACATGATGAACTTGGCCAGAAAATAGTTCTAGGTCATCTAGCAAGTCCACTTTTTTTCTGCTCTTGAAGACAGACAGTGCACCTGCAAAAGGAAAGGCATGAGATCAGTGGGTTCTTGGGGCTCCTGTGCCATTGTCATGCTGTTTCCCAATTCAGCAACTTTCAACCACATTTGTGTCCACAACCTCCTCCCACTTTCCCTTGTCTGTACTACGTCCCCAGATCTAACAGATCTGAATTCTTACCTTCCTTCTGGAGTGTGGCTCACAATGGCCCCTGGTGTCTGGAGGGGCCACCTGAGCGCAGGCCTTGGATGATGAAGATGGTGCCCACCACGATGCCCACCAGGCCCACGGTCAACCCCAGGGCACAGACTACAGTCTCTGTCAGCTCTGACATAGAGGCTGGAATCTCAGGTTCTGTGAAAGTGAAGTTGTGGAACTCAGAATACAGAATGTTTCTGTGCATGTGAGTGGGATGGGGGAGGAAGGGTTGGCTCCACAGACTTAGGGTATGGGGCTTAGGGAGGAGAATGAGGTCTGTCATTAGAAACCCTTGGAATGTGAAGTTTAGGGGCATGAGGTTTAGCAGATAACAGGCACGGTGTTCTGGACTTGACAGACAGAAAAAAGAATGTTCCCAAAGGGCGGAACTCGTACATACCCCAGTGTTTGAGCAGTGGCTCATCCAGGCCCCAGTGCTCCACTTTGCAGTCATAAACGTCATCATCAGAAGGGAGGAAGATGAGGTAACTGAACTTGGAGAAGGAATGATCATCCTTGGAGAGGAAGCTGGTCTCAGAAACACCCTCTATGACCGAGTGCCCATTCCTCAGCCATGTGATGTTGATCACAGGAGGAAAGATGTTGTCCACGTGACAGATGAGGGTGTTGGGCTGACCCAGCATCACGGGAGACTTGGAAAACACAGTCACCTCAGGAACCTCTATGGTGAGGAAACAGCACAGATGTGAAATAGGAATAGCTCTGCCTTGATTCTGCACTACCTCCTGGGGGAGCCCTCCCACCAAGGGTTGCAGTCTGACAGAGGAGAAGCTCTTGCTTCCCTTCTGTTTGGGAGGCACCATATGTTGCTTCTGCTTTATCCCTGTCCCCCTGTTTTTGATGACCTGCCTGTCAAGTGGGAGATCTGTGGGACCTCTCCATGAAATATTCAAAGATTGCATTATGGAAGTAGGGATCTTTCTATCATATGGAAATACATGAGCTGAAAGAAGGGAGAGGATGAGAGTTCAGCTATTACCATGAGAAAATGTGGTGACTCCTTGGAAAGGAGAGAGTTTTATAAAGTGGTGAAGGGTATCTATCCCTAGAGAAAAAGGGAGTGAGGCCCGGTGTGAGGGGGTAGATTAATAAAGAGAAGCAGAATGGGGAACACATACTGTTGGTAGCAGCAGTAGAGTTGGAATCGCGAATCAAGATCTCCAAATTATGTTTTCCCACAGCTATGTTTCTCAGTGCACCCTGAGGGTCAAAACTTGCAAATTTACTAAACACAGGCAGACGCCAGACAGTCTCCCTCTTTTCCAGGTCCACGTAGAACTCTTCATCTCCATCAAATTCATGGGTAAAGTAGCCAGAGGGACCATATGAGTGGTAGACGTTTATGCCATAGGCGCCAATGTGGTCAGCTGAGTCAGAGTGAGGAGCAAGAAAGGAAAAAATAGAGAAAAGATCCTTATTAAGCAAAGTGAAACAAGAAATTGACTATCAAACATTGTGGGCTTCATTTGTGGCCCAGTTTCTAGACAAAATTCCCAGTACCTGCTCCTCCTTCACTGTGTTGGTAGTTGTCCACTTAGTTAAAAAGCCTTGCAACAATGCCTCCTTATCTTTGCAATGAATCTTGACTCCTTTTTCAGACAGGAATATATGTAATATCCTTTTCATCTGGTACTTGTCCTGGACTACCAACTGTTGCTGAAGAACATCACTCCACTGTGTTAATTGGAACTAATTCACTTTTACAGTTTTAGTCTCAGCTGGATCCATGGTCCTGCTCGGCAGTGGTCCTTCCGCTTTCCTGCACCATTTCTTTCCATCACTAATCTGTGTACCCTCTATGGGACAGAAATCATGTCTTTTCATTTTTGAATCCCCAAAATTTAGCTTTCTGTGTGCTCAGAATGTGTATTAAATGTCAATTGTTATTCTTGAGAATTACAGAGATTTGGGGGAAGACTGACAGACACAGGTAGCAGAACCATACGAAGTCAGAATCAGCAGTGACCGGAGCTGCATTATGACTTGTGAGCCTTAAGCATTCTTACTTTTGTGAGTGCCGCCTTTTATAAAAATACTAAAAATGTATTTTATAGTCATTTGATACAAAGACTAATATAATTCAGGTTGGATTGAAATTTAAAGCATCTCCCCCTACTCTAAAAGTTTGTTTTTCTTCTAATTTTTAAAGAAACAGTTTTTATGAGCCCTATAAGCAATGCAGGCCCTCGGCACTGTGCCCACTGTGCCTTATGTGTAAATCAAGCCTGACAAGGATGTTCCGGTGTGATGAGGCAGAGAGGAAAATTGGAAGTGCTCTGGAGAAGCACATGAAACTTGTACTACCATACAAAATTAGAGTGGTAGCTGCCATGGTTAATAAAGTTGTTGAAGATGAGAGTAACATTTCTTTCACCTCCCCTTTAAACCGTTTGGCTTTTCTACTTTGGTTTTTACAAACCCACTTTTCCTGTCTATGAAACAACAGAGATATGAACCAGGGATGGATCCTGGAAGGAAAGGAAGATGAAGAAATGTATGAAGAGAGGGTGGAAAGAGGGGGACAGCAAGGCAGAGGGCCCTAAGGGACCATGTAATTAACCTTTGCTTGCCCAGTTTCCCTATACAGGTCTTCATTACATGAACTGAAAGATAGGCAATTTGGGCTGACAAATGGAGAATAATATAATGTAATTCTCCAAATTTTTCTTCATAAAGTTCTTAATTTTAAAATAAAAGTAAATATATTCTCTACTTTGTTTTAGAAAAATATGAAGTTATACTTGTGATAGTAATAATTTAAAGATAAGAATAATCATTGATATTTATGTGTCTTCATTACTTGGAAAGCATTTCTACATGCCTTTTTTATTTGATTATTTGTGAGGTGACACAAATTAAGTAACTGAGATTAAGTGAGAACCATGTGGTAAAATGCTTTGTCTAAAGACACTCACCTAGGCTTGCTCACCTACCTGTGCCAGAATGACTGCATAGAAATGTATGTAGATCTGAGACCAAATAAAGGTTACCCTTCTTCATATCCACATAGCATTCATAATTCATGGAACTATATACCCCAATATAAACTTTAGGAGACATACATACAAAGCTTCAAAAGTTATTCAGAAAAATTTGGGAGCAATAGCTCATGAAATTTTTGGAACAAAACATCTACTTGTGAAAACATCTCTAATCTTTGAGACAATAGTGAATGAATGCCCTAGAGCCCTCCAGAACATATTCACTGGATCCAATATCAGAAACAGAGCATGCAACAGCACAGGTAACAAAGAGAGTAGGTCTGGAATGATTACCTGAAGGTGCAATGATGGTAACTTTTAGATTGCTTAATATTGAGAATGCTTCCAGGAGTCTCTATTTCTAGGCCAATCCCCCCAACCCTCCAATTCCTTGCTCCCTAACTTCAGTCTCCCTATCCTTCAACCGTGCACTCACCCACAATGTCTTCACTCCCAGAGGGACTCATCATGGTGGTCAGGGCGAGGGCCCCCAGAATCAGGGCTCTGTTCAGGATCATCCTGTTCTCAAGGTGGTCTCAGAAGTTGCTGTTCTGAGTTGCAGAGCAATGATGTGGGCTGAGAGGGAATTCTAAAGATACCCAAGCCACACTCTGCCAGGTTAGGTTTTGGCCAATCAGAAAAATCCTCTATGATGACACCCCAGTTGCCAGGTGAAGACTTTGTACTAAGAGGCCTGGAAGGGACTGGGAAATCCCCAAGTTCTGGTGCAGGCTCTGGTCAGAGTGGACTTGAGGGATTTTTCTATGAAAGGAAGGAGAGTATTAAATCAGAGTCTTCTCATATATGCGTGTATGTCTGCTGGTGATGAGGGGGTGGGGATTTCTGAACAGCCTCATGGGTAGATGAAGATACAGCTAATTTGATGTCCAACAGGATATTCTGGGCTACAGTTTCCAAAAAATCTTCCCTGAGTTGGTCCCCCTCCCTCGCAGGTCCCATTCCCTCCCCTTTTCATTGACTCTATATGCAGGTTAACTGTCTTTCTGTTTGTTTTCATAGTGCATATGGAATTCTCTAAATACTGAGTTGATCCAAGTGATTTCTGCCAAGTGGTAGCCAAGGAATACCTTTGCCTTTTCTACCTGTAGAAATCCAGTTGAGTAAATTATTCTCATGCTCTCAAAAACTCCAGTATTTGCACTCAGGGGAATAAAAAGACTCATAAGGTCATATAGTGCTGCCTAAAGTAACTGCATGATCTTTCATTTGAATTTTTCGCCTGCCTTGAGTGTTCTTTATGTTCTAAGTTTTGGTGAACCTACCTATATTTAAAGGAATTTGGGGATCATTGATTACATTAAAGGACATTCTGGTTGACTTGCTGTATAATTAAATATGTCAACTCAAATATTGAGGGTAGAATTCAGGGAATTGTCCTGACTTAGAAAATTAGCTTTTATCCTTTACTCTATATTTTAGTATTATTTATCCTGCCACGTTAAAACTCCAGATATTTGTGAGAGACTAATGACCGAACTAAAGTCAAAAACAATTTTTAGAGGGGGAAACTTATTTTTTCAAAATAGTTGATGTTTATGTGTGTGTTATGGTAGCCACAGGTTAATGGGGGTTCCATTTGAAATCAATCATCCTGTCCTTACTAGATGTTCCTCCGTTTCTCAGCACTGTCTTAACTCACAGTGACAAAGGCTATAAAGAAGAGTGAGACAGAAAAAGCCCTGGTGTCTAGAGCTGCTTGTAATTAGGTCTTGTTGTTGCCAGGGGCTGGCCTGCTACTCACAACTAGGTTTTGGTGTTTTCTTGTTGAACATAAGCAGTGTTGTACAACATCATCAGACAGCCATTCTGTGGCCAGGATGGATCAAAACAGAAAACAAGACCCCTCAGAAATCATGTCTCAACACAGACTAAATATGAACAATGTCCAAATCATGAAAACGACCAAGCATGCTTCTGTCCTAGATAGTGTGAATGACTTCTGCTTCTTTACTAATTACAGCTTTAGCCTCAGTACCTTCTAGGTAAGAGTTACTTAGATGCCTGATTATAGAATTATCCCACCCCACCACCTATTATAACTCTTGACAGAATCTAGTTGAGAACAAAGTCACTGTTTCTTAAATTGTCCTCAAAATCACCAACACAAGCTTAAATCCTATAGTAGTTTAAGGGTCAGTTTCATGTGTTGCCAAGGCTATGTTCCTCAGTTATTCACTCAAATACTTATCTAGGTGTTGTTCTGAAGACATCCTGTACATGTGATTAAAGTCCATAATCAGTTGACATTAGGTAAGGGAGGTTATTCTAGATAATCTGGGTGAGCCTGGGCCAGTAAGTTGAAAAGTCTCAAAAACAGAGCTAAATTTCCCTGAGGGAAAAGAGATTCCACTGTGGGCTACAGCATCAGCCTGTACTGAGAGTTCCTGTGCTGAGAGTTCCAGCCTGTGCTGAGAATTCCAGCCTGCCTTTCCTGACAATAGCCCACCTTATGGTCTTGCACTTCCCTAGTTCACCCTCAGTTCAGTTCAGTTCAGTTACTCAGTCATGTCTGATTCTTTGCAGCCCCACAGACTGCAGCTCACCAGTCTTCCCTATCCATCGCCAACTCCTGAAGCTTGGACTCTGGGAGAAGGCGAGGGTGGGATGTTTCAAGAGAACAGCATCGAAACATGTATATTATCTAGGGTGAAACAGATCACCAGCGCAGGCTGGGTGCATGAGACAAGTGCTCGGGCCTGGTGCACTGGGAAGACCCAGAGGGATCGGGTGGAGAGGGAGGTGGGAGGGGGAACCGGGATGGGGAATACATGTAAATCCATGGCTAATTCATTTCAATGTATGACAAATACCACTGCAATGATGTAAAGTAATTAGCCTCCAACTAATAAAAATAAATGAAAAAAAAAAAAAAACTCATGTCTATCAAGTCAGTGATGCCATCCAAACATATCTTCCTCCGTTGTCCTCTTCTCCTGCCTTCAATCTTTCCCAGCATCAGGGTCTTTTCCAATGAGTCGGTTCTTTGCATGTCAGTTCACCCTCACATTGTGTAAACTAATTCCTTGCAATAATTCTCTTAGTAGATCTCTCCAAAAATTCTGCTTCTTTGATTCCAACATCATCACATGAAGATACCCCATGATTCTCCATGATGAGTTTATGAGCAATAAAACCAACTTGTTCATCCATGGATGTATTTCTGATGGACTTTGAAGACATTAACAGCACTTCATAATATTGTTGTGAGGAACATGTATATACTGCATCTGGAATGAAAACTTCCCAGGGCTTTTTAACTATACTTGTAATACATAATATTAATATCATCTCCATTTGACAAGGAGGACACTGAATTTCAGAAAAGTGGAAGTATTTGCCCAAGGTCACACAACTGATGAGTGCAGAGCTGAAAAGTGACAAGGGCAAATAATGAGTCTCTGTGAAGGGAGGGAGGGGTCACCTGTATGACCTCAGAATACAATGTCCTAACATAATTAGGATAGATATTTGACCCTATAGTGGTTTTATCACTCTTTTTAGTCTCTTCCGTTATGGATGGATCAGGAGAAATTTTCAGGTTGTACTTGAGATATGCTCTTTTTACCACACAGCATTCTCCTTTCTGTGTAGTAAATAACACCTCTCTCTCCCTCTCTTCTGTTTTTTTTCTGTATCCAGACTTACCTGCTTGATATTTTATAGAAATCACTTATGATTTAGCAAATGGTCAGAAGTTTTCTTGATGGTGCATCAGAATTTCACCTACTAATATTATAGTTAAAAAATACAACTCAAATTAGGAAGTTAGGATGTTAAACCTCAGGATCAGAATTTTATCTTGGGTGGGAAGTTGAAGACCAGTCTCAGATCTCGCATTCTGTGGGATGCAGAAGAAGTCCAAGCAAGGCAATGTCATTCACTAAAAGAAGATGGGCTCTCTGCCTTTAACTTAACCCTGTATTTTCTTTCTTTGCTATGACACAATGTATTTTGTTCTACTTGCTTCTGTCTTCAGGTCATTATTTTAACATAAAGTAAAATTATTAGTGAATTAGACTCAGATAGAGGAATGGTATACCACTATGACAAAAACCCATTGCCACCTTTGTATAAGAGGGAAATAAAAGACCCTTTTCATAAATTAATGGTGGAAATGAAAATTGCACTTGAAAATATTAATTTTGTCCAATAAGTTTCCTAAAAATTTCCTGCTATGGATTTAATACCTAAAATTGGCAATGTAAATGGAATGTGTCATTGTAACTTACATCTTTTGTCTCCCTCTAAGAAATTACTTAGGTAGAACTCATGTTACTTCTTTTTTTTTTTTTCATATTACTCCTAATTAACGTTTATAACATTCTCTAAGAAGCTGTGTATTTTGAAATTCTTCAGTTCTGACTTTCAACTGTTTTGTCCTGATCCAGCCCTAGTTATTATGATTAGTGAAATTTTACTAAAAATCTCAACCTCTACCATCTTGCAGTAAAAATGTGTCACAATAACAACAGAGTTCAGAGTAGTAAGGTAAAAAAGAAGATGGGCTTTGCAATCAAGTGAATAAATATGCAATAATGGTTTTGATTTTATTACCTGTCATCTTGGGCAAGTGACTCAAAATATAGCCTTAGGGTATTTTATCATAAAAATTGGATGAAAACTACTACATGATAGTTAATATGGATAAAATGAAATAAATATATACAAATAATAAGGTTTAAATACAGTCCAGTGCCTGGAACATAGCAAGTATTCTCAACTGAGATCCACTGTATAGTATTGGAGATATCAAGGGACATTTTCATGCCAGGATGGGCACAATAAAGGACAGAAATGGCAAGAACCTAACAGAAGCAGAAGAGATTAAGAAGGTGCCAAGAATACACAGAACTATACAAAAAACAGTCATAATGACCCAGATAACCATGATAGTGTGGTCATTCACCTAGGGCCAGACAACCTTGAGTGTGAAGTGAAGTGGGCCTTCGGAAGCATTACCATGAACAAAGCTAGTTGAGGTGATGGAATTCCAGCTGAGCTATTTCAAATCCTAAAAGCTGATGCTGTTAAAGTGCTGCACTCAGTATGTTAGCAAATTTGGAAAACCCAGCAGTGGCCACGGGACTGGAAAATATGTTTTCATTTCAACCCAAAAGGAAGGCAATGCCAAAGAATGTTCAAACTGCCACACAGTTGCACTCATTTCACATGCAAGCAAGCTTTTGCTCAAATTCTTTTAAGCTAGGCTTCAACAAGTGTTTCCCAGGTGTTGGTAATGGTAAAGAACCCACCTGCCAACATAAGAGACATAAGAGAAGCCAGTTTGATTCCTGGGTTGAGAAATCCCCTGGAGTAGGAAATGGCAACCCACTCCAGTATTCTTGCCTGGAGAATCCCCATGGACAGAGAATCCTGGCTACAGTTCATGGGGTCACAAAAAGTTGGACATGACTGAAGAGACTTAGCATACAGCACAGCACAGACTTCAACAGTATGTGAACTGAGAGCTTCCAGATATACAAGCTGGGTTTAGAAA